AATACTTATTAGACAGTGTTATAAAGGCAATTTTAATTAATCATATGACAGGCCCAAAATATACCTTTTTACAGAAATCTTAGAAGTTTGTACAACCACACATGTGAAGGTCTTCACCTTTGGATAAACATTAGAGACATATATCACAGTTCCAGTTTCCAGTTACAAACGAAGAGCTAATATAAGGAGCCTCAGTAAAATGGATATTCATTGATATTTATGCAAAACGATTACTTATTATGTTGAGATTGGCTAGATCAGAGTACAAGTAGCAACCATCAAATAGGCGCAAAAGTAGGTGCAGGTAGATGATGTGCTTCCTCTTCACATTTTATTGTTGAATATGAAAGCTATTATCACTGCGGTATTGATTTTGTATCAGTCATAACAGTGAATTATCCCATTTTAAATGTTGCCTTCTTAGTAACTAGAGAGGGCTTACTGTAAGGTTTTGTTCAAACAGTGTTTCTTCAGTGGTAGAGAGGACCGGCCCTGCCATTAGTCAAGGTGAGATGACCACCTCAAGCAGCAGACGCTAGATGGCAGCAGTAGCCCCTGGCAGATTCTTCTAAGCCCCCAAGCCATTCCCTGTTTATGTTACATAGACTGTCCTGCCCCACTACAGTATTCTGCTGTCTCAGGTGCAATGAAGAATGCTGTCTCATCACCTGTGTTGAAGTAATATCCAACTGAGGAGTCAGGCCAGTTTTTAAAAAGTCATTCTATACTTGTAATATTTACATGGCAGGAGAAAAATATTCTGAACATGTCAACTGCATGTGTAACATGCATGATTTCACTAAGGTTTTGGGGATTGCTAAATTTGCCAAATAGTATAAAGACCTTATCTTTACATCTTTAGCTTTTGCTACATGTCTCTTTACCCTGGCCTCTGTCAATTAAGGTATTTAATTTTTTATGGACCCCGCTTTTTTCCTGAATTTATATTGTTCTGTTTCATTTGGATTCATTTTACATGTTTTATAATTGCAGTGGTTTTTGCTGTTTTATATTCTATTGTTGTAACCTGCCAGTGGACCTGATGCTGAAAGGGAGCTAAGAAATCGTATAAATAAACAAGCACACTTTTTGCTGCATGTTGTGAAATGAGAACTTTGCTTGTCTCCCTCACTTCAGAGTCTTAGTGGGTCCTATGAATGTTTGGTTGTTCAGTTATCCCTTCTATTTTGCTACTGTTTTTAGTAATTTACTATGTGATTTTATTGTGCTTTATATATTTTTTCATTGTACACTGTCTGTGGAGCATTTGCCCTGGAAGAGTGAAGTCAGTCTCAGGTTTGTAGGCTTATGGGAGCGTTGGACACCCAGATTGCAGCAGTAGCCAGGAATACTTTCTGTCAACTGACTGCCTCTAATAAGAAAGCTGCAGCCTTTTTTGTCAAATTACAGCCTCAAGAAGACAGGCTACTGTATTGCGATGAGATTTTGGGGGGGGGGGTTACAATGGGAGAAGGGATTTGGCAAAAATTGAGCAGAGGCACTTCGCATGTGCAGAAGCAAAGTGCCTCAGCCTTGTTCTTACTTGCTGAGTTTCATGATACTTCAGAGCAGCCTTTCCAACCTGAAGCACTACAAATTAATTAAATTTAGTCTTACTTAAATTCCATTGATTTCAATAATTAAGTGTGGATCAAACCCTCTGATTACAATGGCTGAGTGCACTTGGGGCTGCCCTGAATATTCGCCTTTTTCAGGCTAAAATTGTTTTTTTGATAGTGTAAAATATTTCCACAAATATCCCTTTAGACTACGTAAACATTTACCATCGCCATCCAGTCGTGTTCAGTGCCAACATGCTGGCTTGCTGCTATTATTAAGCTACTGCTTCTTCTTTCTGGATTGCATATGGGGGTGACTGAAGGTCTGCTCAACTTATTGGGTGGGCAGTGTTGCACTGATCTGGCCCAGGGACAGAGACTGGCACCCTCCCCGCCGCTGCTTGTCCACGCCATCAGCACTGTGTGGGGCCCTGCTCAGGGGGTGGGCCCTGGTGACCAATCAACACCAATGGTGGTGGAGGTGGCCGTGGAAAATTTAAACCCTGACACGGCAGGGAAATTGAAGCCAATCAGGGATTAAATAGTTGATGGAATGGCATCACAATGCTAAGTATCAAACTTGGCTGCATGATGACATCACTGAAGGCATAAGAAGTTAACTGAAAACAAGAGAGGACAATATAAATGCACATGTGACGATGTCCCCTTTTACTGCTAGGGATGGGGAGAAGTTGAGTCCAGCAGACCTGCATAATCCACATTTTCTGATGCACAGGGCAAATGCCTATATAGATAGATAGATAGATAGATAGAGTCCAGTAGTGCCTTAGAGACCAACTAAGTTAGTTCTGGGTATAAGCTTTTGTGTGCATGCACACTTCTTCGGAACATGCACATGATAGCTTATACCCAGAACTAACTTACCGGTAGTTGGTCTCTAAGGTGCTACTGGACAATTTTTTTTATTTAGTTTTTATTTATTTTGTCTACATCAGACTAACACGGCTACCTACCTGAATCAAGGGCAAATGCTGCTATTCTCCTATGCTTTGAAATTTACACTCCTCCAAATTTTGTGAGGCAGTTCTCCAACCAAACATACAAAAATGCATAAATTATGGGAAAGTGTGCATAAAATGCATATATTTGTGATGTACGATTGTTGGAAAAAAATCCTTGCAATATTCACATTAGGCAAAATTGCATATAAAAATGCATATTCCGAACTTTCACAATGACTGAAAAACCCCCAGAAACTGATGTGTAAATGTGAAGGATTGAATTTAAGATCAGGGAAAAAACCTATAGAAACTGAAATAAAATGAAGTTGACAGATTTGCCCATGCTTACCCACTGTAGGATCTGGGTCACATCCTATGCTGTTCTGGAGCTTTGCCTGATCTCAGGTCAGGAGCAGTTTTTAGGGGGCTCATGGGGCTGATGTCAGGAAGGGAGAGCAGTAAAGTCCCTTTGCGCAAGCATCCTTACACTTGTGTATCTTTGGATACAACTCTGTGGGTATCTGTGTCTCAGTGGAGTGAACTCGTACACCCTGGAGATATTTGCTTGCTTCCAGTCCCCGCTGCCCATTTAAGCCCAGCCTGAAATGCTGGTTTTAGGAGTAGAAGACCCATCAGCAACAGAATGGGATATGGTGCAGAGGGCTGCAGCGGGTAGGATCATTTAAAAACTGGATGCTTTCACTTGTCCGTGCCAAAGCATTTTTAGCTAAATCAAAGCCACCATTGCATACAATGTTTTTCAGTTACACATTCTCCAAATTCAATTGTGTTACACATTTCCTTCAATCCCTTATATGAAAAGAAATGAAAAAGGTTGTTAAAACAGCATGATAATAATTGACAATGATTTTGATTATTAGAAAATAAACCTACACAAAATCCGGAAATTGGGGGAAAGAAAAAAAAAAAACAGCATGAGAGGAATAACAACAATGGTAGACAGATTTAAGCACCATAGAAATTTCTTTGCCACAGGTATGGTCTTTCAGTTATCCATAACGAGAAATGGTCTGAATACTTTTTCCAAATTTGCCTTTACAGTTTTTTTTAAATTCTGGTGTGTGCAAGATTTCTAAAAGAGATGCATCCTTTATTAAATACATTTGTTTAAAATACATGAAATAACAAATTATTGGAGCACTGGTTATTTTCAACAGCATAATTTCACACGGCAAAAATATCAGCAAAATCAAGCACCCTATTATAAGGGAAGGCTTAGCTTATTAAAAATGTTTCAGCACAGCTTACAAACCTTCAAAGATCTATAGTATATTTTTAAACAATGCAATATAAAACATGATCGAAACATAAAAATATCGATAATATATTTGTAGGACGATCATCCAGTGGCAGTTATTTGATGTTATACAGCACATGTTCTATACAGTTACACGCACACACACACACACAAAGACACAACATACACTCATTCTCTTGCCTCTACCATGAATCTAGTGAGCCACGGTTAAGAATTGCTTTTTGCTTTAAAGTAGTAACTGTTGCTCAAAATATATAATTATTTCATATGTAGTTGTTTCCATAGTAACACAAACAAACAATGTAACCACATGGCAGATGCATCAGATTATGAAAGTCGAGTTGGTAAATATTGTTTTGCTACAGGAAATGTAGTGTTAACAGTTTAGCCACCTGGCTTGCAATCATCTACAAAAGGGCAAAGGCTCAACACTACAGGAATTTCTGCCTTGGTTCTCATCAGCAGCCCTTTCGTGTCTTCACTGTGTTTATTCTGGCTCTTTTTAAAATCAGCGCACGGGGGGGGCGGGAATACTAAATCAGAGGTTCCTTATAAACTATATGCTCACATGCTATTTTTGCTTCTCTGACACAAACTTCACATGACAACTTGTTATTTCCAGGTCACTCTCTTAAGAAAGCATAAGAAAAGATATACCCAGGTATGCTGTCTGCAGAGAAGTCTTTTATTCCTTCCTTTCCAAGGGAACGTTGCTGCATTCAGTGAAGATGTCCAGCGGTGAGATGGATGCTAAGGTCTCCTCTGTGGTTTGTGTTATGCAGAGTCCTATTCAAGTGTTGCCAAGAGAGTGTGTGACAGTGTGTGTGAAACGTTGTGTACTGTACTTATTACCCCTTTGAATTTTGTTTTTGCTATAGAAGTTGTAGATGGGATTTGTGCTTTGTCAAAACGCCTACTGTCTTCTCAGAATACAATACTTTGAAAACAATACAATACTTTCCCTTTAAAACATGCGCACACGCACACACGCACACACACAACAAGTAAAGAATTGAAGCCCTCTAATAGATTTAGTGCAGGATACACATTTGTTCGTTGCTGCTGCTGCCCCCTCCTATACACAACACCATGTTGGTGTGCCTTCTCTTGCCCTCACACGGCTTGTGCTGCTTTGCCCCATCAAACCAAAGCTGACCAAGGAGACATGGTCCACTTGCTTCCATCACCACAGCCTCCGTTCTACAGGGTTGATGAAGTTTGCTTATAATCCCTCAGAACAACAGAGGCATAGGTTGCAATGGGAGGTGTGCAAAGCACTGATTCAGATACCGGGGAGCTGGGCACAGAACTGCCTGAGGCCACCGAATCTCGAAAGGGAGATGGAGGCGTCAGTGCTGGTGAGTCTTCTAGAGTCAGTTTGCTGGTTGCCTGCTCCTCTTCCTCATCTTCATCCTCCTCTAGGTTCCCCGGCCGCTCATACACATACCCTTGGATAAGCTTAAACTTTTCATTTTCTTCTTCTTCTTCCTCCTCCTCCTGCCCCTCTTCTTCAGATGGGGACGAAACTATCTCTTTGCTGAATGTACCCATTTGGAGTGGCAGCACCTGCTGCTGCAATAATGGAGGGTGATAGATAGGCCTTACTCCGTTCCCGGCACCAGGTGCAGGGATCACAGAGTTGAAGTCCGGGATGCCAGTGGCAAATTTGTTGACCACGCCTTGCAGCTGCTCCATAACGGATCTCTGTGGTGGTGGAGGTGGTAGGATTTGGGGACTCTGCTCAGACAAGAACAGGTGGGTTTCCTCTGCTGTTGCCTGCAGGGGAGGCGTCGCCATGATTCGCCGATGCACAACCATGGAAGGACTATTTAGTTGGCAGAAACGCACTGGCTCGCTCTCCTCTTCCTCCACCACATTGTACAGAGTCTTACTGCTGATGTCTGAAAAAGTCAGGCTCTTGCCTTGGCCTGGATAGCTTTTAGTCAAGGGCTTGATCACTGCGGTCTGATTGCATCCTGGCTCTTTGCTCTTCACATGCACTGAGAGTCTGTGCCACATATGTTGTCCCTTGGGAACGTCTCTCCCACCTGGTTCAGACCAGGACACAGACTTGCCGTTGGAACTATGAAGAAAGCAAAGATGGTTGGTTTGCATTTGCTTCAGGAAAAGAGAGGCTACAATAGCAAAACTGTCCTTAGTTCTGCTCTGTAATATTGCCTCCACTCAGAAGCAATTACAGGGAAATACTACATTGAGAAACAGCAAAGACTTTCTGTTTTTTATAAAAGGGAAACCAAATTATTCCTTGTTGTGGTGGCAACATGTTGTAGAACAGAGGTCACAAATGAGGCGCCCATAGGTGCCAATGTGCCTGCCAGTGCCTTCTGTGTCACTCAGGAAATAGTCCCTCAAAGATCCACAATACACAAGAGACTATTTGCTCAAATTCTCCTACATTGAGCATACCTGCTTAAACATTCCCACAATTTATTGTATGCCAGGACTGGACACTTACTATCCCTTTTATTCTGAAGTGCAAAGGGCATCTCTCTTTGAGCAAGTATGATGGCCGCTGTAGGTGCTCCCCTCATTGTGAACTGATGAGGGAGTATGCCTGCACCATTTTGTGGTCCAGTATTTCAGCTGTTTTAGATGTGACAGCCATTTTGTGTTATGCCACACCCCTATGACAGCAATTTTGTGACTTGCAACAAAGGCACTTTCTCAAAATTCCAAATGTGCCCCCTGGTCAGGCAACTTGGATGGCTTCAGTTATTTTGGTTTCAATGTTCTCTGCAGGGACAGGAAACCGCTAATCAATGTTAGATTCACTTCACCTGAAAGTTTTGGAAGATGCAATCCATAATCATTAGAACACATGTCTAAATCTATGGCAGTAGAATTAAAATATTTAATGTTATATTCCCACGTGCCATACACTTTACATTTCTGGGTCCCATCTAAGCTTGTATTATGCTTTTTCTCTACCACATTCTCAGGCAATTCTAGTATACAGAATCCCAACTTATTCCATCATGCTTTAAAAATAATGATCAGTGTTTGGTCCACTCATAATAAGTATATTGAGGTTCATGATCAAGCTTATTCCCTTGAAATGGTAAAAATCTTATATCCAAATTAAATTTGACTAATGTTCCTCATACAGGTTTTTGTTTTTTTGTTTTTTAAGAAAGCACCAATGGAAGAGATTTCAAGATTGCTCCAGACAAAGGATTCCATGTCCCGTGGAAGGAATTGCATATTGATGTTTCGAGTAAATCTGTTTTGTCAGAACTGGAACCTGCAATAAAAAGTTGATTTCTCCTTTATTTAACTAGCCTTTGGAATATACTCCCAAATTAATACCAGGCATGCATCTGGAATTTAGGTGCCATGCTTAAAATTCATATTTCACCCAGGCTTCCCATAAGGGGGTGAACCAACTAAGTTGATGTATTAAGCCAATGTACTTATTTGTGATATTTTTGTACTTGTTTTATGCACATAATTTCAGTGTTTAATTTACAGCTGTTCACCAGCTTGGTCTCCCCACCCTTAACATTAGTGGTTATAGACATTTTTTGCAAACAAACAATATACTGAACTATTTTCTTCTTATCCTCACTAACAGCCTAGTGGGACTTAAGTCCCATTCATTTTATTTATTAAACCCAGCTCCCACCCTTCCTCCCAAAGGAGCCAGAGGCGGCAAACACACAAATGAAAAAACAACAAAAACATATTAGAAACCATTCCAATACAGACACAGACTGGGGGAGATCTCTACTTAAAAGGCTTTTGTTGGAATTTCCAGCAGACTTAATACCAGCCATCTTGGGGTGCTTCCAGACAGGGGCCTGCTATTGCAAGTAGGTTGTTCAAAGCACATTAACTTCCACACATTCCTGTTTTTTCAGTCATGGATATTCATTGTTATTCTGCTGCTTGCTGTCCACACAAGTGGGTGAAGATTGAGAAAATGTACCTGGAGGGCTTCCCATCTTATTCCCCTCAATCACTCATTTCCAGCCCTCCAATGCTGTTGGTGGGCAAGTGCAGTGGTATTCTCTGTGTGTGTGTGCGCGCGCACCACGCACACAACTTTTTAAAAAAACAACAACCCAGGAAGTGCTCATGAGTGCAAGAGGAAATATTACCAGCCAGAACATGCAAAATGGGAACTTGTGATTTGAGGTATGAGTGTGAGCAATATACATTTCCACTTGCTTATGAGTGGTGTTTCTCTAAGCCTAGTACAAGAGTGATACTGAGATCTTGCACAAGATCACTGTATTGGTTTTGTTGAGAATAATTAAAAATACAGATATATGTACTGTGAATACAACCTCTGAGGTAATTGCCATGTGTATTTTTAGGAGATCTTTTGAGAAAAACTCATAGCAACTGGTTTGCTGAAATTCAGGTGTGCCCTCATCATGTGGCAATCTCTGGAAATAGGCACACTTGCATCATTTGAGCCACTGAAAACAGAATGGGCTGGATGAGTGTGGCATTAGAATCCATCCACCCAAATGTCACAATGTGTGACAAACCATGGAACGAGACTAAATTAATGTGCTGAAAAGTGACTGCAGATCACTAAGGTTTATTTTTTTGAATCAGATTTTCCATGGAAATGGGAAATCTGGGCTAAAATTTTAAAAAGTATGAGCTGACATTCTGTTGACAAGGATATTGTGTGGGCACTACAAAAAAGAATTGTGTGCATGAACAGCACCAATTACCCAGTATAAACTCCTGTCTGGAAGCATCCTTAGAGTGAACTCAGAAGAACACTTAGCAGCCTAGTCACATAGAGAAGAGCTTTTTCAGTGGTGGCTATTGGGATGGAGGCTTCCAGTGACTTGGTTATCATGTGCTAGCACAAATAGCAAATTAAAAGCACTATTATTTAAATGTAGCCTTGGTACATCCACCCAGCACAAGTCTGCAAAATCTACAGTGTGCATTTGATTTGTATCACTTGAATAGATATGGGAATTGATAAAAACAGCAAGGCAAAATTGGCTCAAACTATGTGACAAGTGGAATTCTACCTATCAGACATGATGTCACTCATCTTGCCCATTTTCTCTATCACTGTATATGTCCATGACCATAATGAATTGATTCATTCATTCATCTTGCCCATTAGAGACACAGAAGCTTGAAGGGGTCCCTCTCCACCAAGTACGTTTAGAACAAACACACATGGTACAAATTCAGCCTCAGTAATCACTAAGACAAAAAAAAGTAATAAAATACAAATGCAGACATATTTGATACCGATGACTATACAATACAATTGTGTGTGTGTAAGTAAGTACGTAAAAAGATTCAAGAAGTGTGGGGGAGGATGCAAGGTCAGCCGCAGGAACAACCAGTTGCCCTGGAAAAACCCAAATATTTTAGAAACAAGGGTGTGCTAATAATATGGCAACAACCAGAAGATTGAGACCATTGGGTACAAAGGCACTGTGAACAGTGAGACTCAATACCACAGCAATTTAAAAGCAAGGGACACACAAAACTTTAAGCAGGACTCAGGCATCATGACAAAGGGAGCCCTATAGGTATGGATGCTGAGGAGATTTGTGGCACAGGCAATCTGTTGTGTCTTAGCAAGGAGGTGAGGCAGGGGTTTGCCCTCAGGTAATGAGTCTCTAAAATATGGAGAGCTTTTACATTTGGGAAGGGCTTGGGGAGAGTTAAGGAAGAACTGGGAAGGGGGATGATTGGAACTCAATGATAAAATGCATTATTTGCTGCATAAAGATAGTTCCTGGTTAATTTCCTCACACTCGTTTCCTAGTTCTCCTGGATCTCTAAGCAGCCTTTGATACCTTTGACCATGACATCCTTCTGGACTATCTAGAGGCGCTGGGATCTGGGGGCACTGTTATATAGTGGTTCCGCTCCTTCCTCCTGGGCTGTGTCCAGAAAGTGGTGTTGGGGGTTGAGTGTTCAGACCCCTGGGCTCTCACTTGTGAGGTGCCTCAGGGTTCTGTCCTCTCCCCCATGCTTTTCAACATCTACATGCAGCCACTGGGAGAGATCATCAGGGGATTTGGGCTGGGTGTTCATCAATATGCGGATGATACCCAGCTCTACCTCTCTTTTAAATCAGAACCAGTGAAGGCGGTGAAGGTCCTGTGTGAGTGCCTGGAGGCGATTGGAGGATGGATGGCAGCTGATGGATTGAGGTTGAATCCTGACAAGACAGAAGTACTATTTTTGGGGGACAGGGGGCGGGTGGGTGTGGGGGACTCCCTGGTCCTGAATGGAGTTACTGTGCCCCTGAAGGACCAGGTGCGCAGCCTGGGAGTCATTTTGGATTCACAGCTGTCCATGGACTTGTGTGACTAAGTTCTGTAATTCTATATTTGTATAGAATGGAAGACAATACACACTACACTATAAAACATTTTTGAATAGCTATACTGATTAATACATATAAACACAAACAGAAAACCTACCTGCATGATATACACAGAACTAACACACTTTTAATTTCCGTTTTAACAAGGCTGCTTTGATGAATTTAATCTGCTTACAACAGAACCACGCTTTGAAATAGGAAATCCTAATGTACTTTTGATATTATGGCAGGGATGATTTTCTGTTAAGGAAAGAACTAATATGGCTGTCCTTACATATAATTCATCAGGACCTGTTTCCTAGCAAATCATGTTTTAATTCACCTTACTCAGAAGCAAGATCTGCTGGGTTTGCACTCTACATAGATAAAGGTTTGTGCTGCAGTTACAGTTAGATGGTTCTAAATGGTGTTTCAGTCACTGTAATTGACATTTTATGATATGCTGAAAATCTGGGAGCTGCCAGTAAATATTGCAAATCCTTCTTCATTCATACTATGCCTTTGTTACATATCTTCAAGTGCCAGGAAAAACTCTCTTCTCCCAGGCCTTTGGCTAATTAAACAATCTACGGTTTTTAAACTGTGTGTGGAACGTTGTTATGGTGGTTGTTTCATTGGTTCCTTTTTAATTTTTATATTGTAAACCCTCCTGTGATCCCCAGACGAAGGGTGGTATAGAAATTTAATAAATATTCATAAAATATATCACAAATAGTTGCATACCAAACATTTGTTTTTAAAAACTGCATACAAGAGTTTGTTAGACTTTCAGTCTGATTCAGAGTACAATCCCAACCATGTCTACTCAGAAGTAAGTCCTATTGAATTCAAGGAGGCTTACTATCAGGTTAGGATTGCATCCTAAATATCACAGGCCTTGGGAATTTGGCTAGCCTTGTTGAAACTCTTTTTGCTTCCCTCTAAAGCAGAGGTGGAGAACCTCTGGCCTTCCAGGTGCTGGTGGACTCCCAACTCCCATCACTATGGCTATTTGTGAGAGATGGGACTTGTGGTCTGTTAATAGTTGGCGGGCCACAGGTTCCCTGCCACTGCTGGAAAGTGTTGAGTCTAAACTTAAGGATGTTTCTCCTAAGATGTTACATCAGAATATTGCTGTGGGTTAAATTTGGTGGTTAACTCCAGAGGTTTGATCTTTGTCAACTGCATGGAGAGGTTCCCCAGAAAACCTGGACCCCCAGCATGTATGTGGTGCTGGTGAGATGCTGAATTTGCCAACAATACAGCTTGTCAGTCAATAGCATGCGTGTTTCCATAGCTTCTAGGTGGGGGTGCACATCCTCTATGCAAAGAGTATTTTATCATATTGTTGGGTTTTTGTTTGTTTCCTTCCTTGAGTATTTTGTCTGAGTAGGAAAGTCAATGTTTGCTTTGAAGATTCAATTTGGGTTTCAGTTAAATTCTGTTAAAACAATGAAATGTTTTAACTCTGTTAAAACACTGAAATGACCACTATATCTGTGAAGTCTCTTTTTCTTGGCTAACAGCTGTTCCACGGCTTCTGTCACATTATTATTTCTACTTGGTTCATGTTCTCACTACTTTTGTCTGTCACTACCTTCTCTGTGTTAAATTTCCCAACCAGAATACTGCTGTTCTCATTATCAGCTTGATTTGAACTTCAATAAAACTAATTGTCTCCCACTTTCTACCACAAGCATCATGTTGGAAAACATACCTCTTCTATAATGACTATTTTCTTCTCCTTTTCCTAACATAATTCTGCTTATTAACCTGTTTTCATCAGCCCCAAATCTGTGACTTAGCACCTACTAATCTGTAAACACATGTTAATGTGACAAGAAAGGGAAGAATCAATTGGGTTTAATTATTACTTTCAAAAGTAATAATTAAAATCTTCTATCTCATTGCTTGAGTGTTTGCACTTCAAAATTCCTGTATGGCCATAAATGGTCGTCAGCACGAAACTCTGTGTTTTGCACACTCCACCAAACCAGTGTTCTGTGAAAACCTGCAGCCGAAGTTCACCAACCCGGGCTGTCAAGAAGAATCGGGCACAGCAAAGCTGCAGCAGCCACTAGAGAAAATATAAAGCCGTCATTGCAAGTAGGCAGGATCGTTTCAGCTCCATGCAAAACTCTGAACAGGGGAAAACAGTGTTGGCTAAAGGACGGGGGTTAAGATAAAACGAACAAGAAAAGTACGTATTTTTTGTTTTCGTTTTGCAATTTGATCAGCAGATGCTGGAAGTGACAACCATGGGGAGAAAAAAAGAGTTTCTTTCAAAAATTATTCCACAGTGTCCTTTGAAGAATATATGGACAAGCAAGAGTCAAGGCAGTGTGAAAAATGGGACACATAAGCAACTGTTCCATCATTAATGGCATGCACCACATTTGTCCCATTATCCGGAATGAGAAAAGTCATGAGAAAGAGAAAGCAATGGGTAAAAAATAAAAATAAAAAAGATATAACAACAAACACCACTGTTTGTCATGCAGCTTCTCTTACACATTCACTGCAGTTTGGGGGTTTTCAAAGCTGCACATGGGCCGACGGACACTGGCTGGTGGGCGAGAATTCTGGCTGCCTCTTCCTGAGGATTGAAAAGAAAAAGACACCCAGTGAGTGGTTATCCACATGCACATTCATGGCAGCTGTACCACTCAGTTGGGTGCTTGTCCCTGGCCTACTTCCAGCCTTTCTTGTGCTGCTTCAGGTGTCTTCTCCAGGTCTACATGACTTAAGTGGTTCTATCTACCCTATTCGCCATATGGTATTCCTTTCTTCTTTGCCTACCAAGTTGCTATGCATTTAAAAATGAGGGTGGTTATGCAGTGGATACTGTGCTGTGAGCTTCTTTGTTTTTTGTTTTGGATAAGGGGGAGCTAAGTGAAAATCCCTGTGCTTCATGGAATGGGCAATGCACTAGCACCCTTAACATAACTTCCTGCCCTGTGTTGGAGCTAAAATAAGAGAAATGTATAATGGTTGTCCTCCAGAGCTTCCTACAGGAGAGCAGGAAAGAAATCTAAATAACATATAACCTCCAGATGATAATAATGGTGCTGTGCATGAGTGGAAACACCTCTTAGTCATGCTTAAATAGCTTGTAATTAGCTATTTGTTTGGTTGCCTGTGGTGAATTAGACCTGATTCTGAGCAATCACAGAGTCAGCTGGTTCTTTTCTCCCCTTGGACAACTGATTGTCAGAAGTAACTAGCACAATTAACATGTAGGGATAGCCAGGCTTAGGGGGGAATTTTGTGGGGTACTAATTTATTTGCAAGGTGGGTCTATATGCCACATTCATATTGGAACTTGCACAATATATGGAGGTTTTTCTTTCACAGTGGTCAAGTCCTTGGAAAGAGGGCACATATATTCTACATCCCCTTTTTCGGATTGTTGATAGCTTTTCGCAGTGCACGGGCCCTGCCTTTCCATAAAAGCCATTGTCACTATTTGCTTTTCTGATTTTTATTTTTTATTATTTTTAGAATTTGAGTCTCAGTACGGGTGATATTTTGGGCCATAGTAATGAGGCAGATGACAAATTAAAGCACAGTACATTTACTGATAAAATTGCAGTTATGTCACCATCAAAAGTGTCACAGGAACTTGAGGGGGAAAACAAAGTACCTGAAGTCAGCATAGGCTAGCACTTACCTGAGCTGGTGTGAGGATAAGAATATTCACAAACATTCTGTGCTTCATTTACTGAACTGCTAGAGAGGAACTACTAGCCTGCCCCATTCCACAGCGCCACATTTTTTTGCTAGAATAGTAGGCTGGTCACGGTTTCACATGTTATATTTGTGAAAATTATGTAGATAAATTTGTTACTTTAAAAATTATCCAGTTTCTTGTTTCAGTTTCTGGCACACCCCTGAGGCTTAGTGAGGCAGTTGCCTCAGGACAGCAGATATGGGACAGTTGGGATGGATAGCATACCTGGGTCCATGAGGAGAGCACCACCCCTCCCCCTCCCCCTTTGCCTTTTCCCCTCTTCCTCCCCTCCACAGGTCTCAATTTGGTCTCCTTTTTCTCCCTTTTTTCTCATGGACAGAAAAAAAGGGGGGAGTGGCAAAGGTGGTCAGTGGGGCTGGTGGCTGGGGAGGATTTGTCATCGGGGGTGGGGGAGGAGTCGGCAGGGTGGCATTTTCTGTTTTGCCTCAGTGGCAAAATGTCCTGGTTTCAGTTTGTGGACAAGAATGAACCAAACTGTAGGAGTGATGGAACAGACTGTCTAAACCAGGCATGGCCAACCTTGGCCCTCCAGATGTTTTGGGACTACAGTTCCCATCATCATCCCTGACCACTGGTCCTGTTAGCTAGGGATGATGGGAGTTTTAGTCCCAAAACATCTGGAGGGCCAAGTTTGGTCTAAACCTTGCTTCTCCCTCCCTCCCTCCTTTTTATGTTAATTTCTTATTATAGAAGTGTGTGTTATATTGTCCTAACATTTGTGTCATATTGCAAAGACTTCACAATAAACTGCTACTTCTGCTTACAAATATTCTTACAACTCTGGGCTAAATTTTCAGTGTGAATGGGGTGAAGATGCAAGAATAAATGAATTTAGAAGAAACTTGTTGGAATATCTTACTGCAAAAGGTTTCTTGGACTCCTGGGGAACTATTTGGTTCTCATGTATATGCAAAAGTTGCCCTGTAAAGTTAAATAGATATCTCCCTTTTAATGTATCTTGCTTGGAAGATACGATTGGTTGGAATCCTATAACTATAGATATGTTAATTACATTACATTACATTACATTTCTATTTTCTTCTCTTTGATATACTGTGCAGTAGCAAGCTGCCAATGCAATGTTCCCAAAGTTAAATGGAAATGTTTTCTTTTAAAAAGTCACGAATGCTACCTTTCTGCTGGCTTGGACTAGCTATTAAGTCTAATCAGGATTTTAATGTCAGCTAGCAGGAGGTGATTTAGTGACCATGAACTACTGCAACCATAAGGCGACATAGCATTACGTGCTATTAGCACATTCAGACTTAGGATTTTTTGGGGGTGTGTGTGTTGATGTGTCCATTTAAGTGGGGCACTAAACTACATACTATGAAAAGCAGGGTAGCCACTTACATGTCACTAAAAAAAGAGAAGACTGTGACCGGTTGATCTATGTGATTGCTCAGTCAGCTCTCTAGGTGATAACTGTTGAAGGTCAACTTCTAAGCCTTGCACTCTATCTTCACATGGTTCTTTGTCTTTAAACTTGACTTGGGCTGGACAGTCCTACAAACAGAGGGCTGCCCTCTGACTTCTCTTCAAAGGTAAAGGTAAAGGGACCCCTGACCATTAGGTCCAGTCGTGGCCGACTCTGGGGTTGCGACGCTCATCTCGCTTTATTGGCTGAGGGAGCCGGCATACAGCTTCTGGGTCATGTGGCCAGCATGACTAAGCCGCTTCTGGCGAACCAGAGCAGTGCATGGAAACGCCGTTTACCTTCCCACCGGAGTGGTACCTATTTATCTACTTGCACTTTGATGTGCTTTCCAACTGCTAGGTTGGCAGGAGCAGGGACCGAGCAACGGGAGCTCACCCTGTTGCGGGGATTCAAACCACTGACCTTCTGATCAGCAAGCCCTAGGCTCAGTGGTTTAACCCACAGCGCCACCCGTGTCCCTCAAAGAGTGTCTTCAAAGAGAGGACTCTAAATTAGGCCACATAGCCACCATAATGAGAAAGTTGCTCCAGGCCTAATTCTCTTGCATCTGCCAGCTAGGAAGAAGAGGTAGGTGTTGGTGCCTGGAAATATGTGACAGGAAGGCTGTTCAGCAGAGGCAGAGAACTTCAGATCTGGGAGCAAAATATGGCTCTTTGGAGATCTTTATTTAGTCCTCAAAACTCTCCCCAGATCACACCTGCTCACTGATCTAGCTCCATGCTTTCCTATAGTGCTTTTGCCTGGATGAAGTGTGTCTTTGTACCAAGCAAATGAACCTTGCTTGACTGGATGAAGAGCTGTGTGTATGTAAAAACCTTTAGACTTGTGTGCAGCTGTAATGGAGCGTACTCTACAATGGTAGGAGTCACATCTGTTGCTCTGCTGACTTTGCCTCTGGCCCTGTCCACAGCTGGCACGTGGCCCCCAGAAGGCTGTCTACAAGGGAATATGGCCCTCAAGCCATATTCCGCCATCCCTGCTGTAGGCTTCACAACAGTGAGGTGCCTAACAATTTGCCCATGGGAGGCTTAGGGTTTTAATGGATGGAACTGCTTGAGGCAGAATAATCCCTTGGGAGAGAGGATGGCTTATAATTGTTGAGAAACTGTAATTTAAGAACCATTTTTTCTACCCAGGACCAGGGACCCTGGGAGCAAGCTTCTTGCAGGGAGTGGATGAACATATGTGGGTTCAGGGAATATTTTGTTTAGTGTAGTTGTGTTAGGATTGCTCTCTGTGTGTATGCAAGGATTTTGTTGCATACAGCTGATTGGTTGGCTTCACCAGAATAGAGACAACTATAACCATGATGAGAAGGAGGGATATGGTGCCCTACACATGACATTCTGGCAGGTTGCGTATTTCGCAGAAGATTTGATCCCGGATTTCAAAGAAAATTTATTCACCTAGTGTCAGCATTGCTATTTCCTGGCACAGATCTTCTACCAGACAGAATTCTGCAGAAAGACAAACAATGTAGTTTTGCTCTAAAAGCATCTAGAACAAAACTCTGCAATTTTTGCTCTCGACCAAATAATCAGTATGCATAGTATTAAGATTGCATTTGGCTCAGAAAATGAAGGATTCTTTGATTGAATGATTACTTGAATTTTTTGATGTAATTTAGAGGTGCAAGTCAGTCTCATTCCAGGGTCGTTTCCTTGCATTCATTCCATTCACCTTGGTGTCTCACTCACAATTAAAACCTTTACCAGCAATGACAGGCTCTCCAAAACAAGAAATTATATATGCAATGACAGTCTGAAGCTTAGCAACTGTGGCCTTTTTTATTAGGCCTTTCAAATTCACAATGCTTCTGATTAACTAGTCCAAGTTTAAAGGCAGCTTGATATGTGAGCATTTGACTCCTGGTTGAAAAATGATGTGCATCATTATGTGTTAATTATCTACTTGTCTTGGTTCAAATTAGGGAGAACAGTATGTTCAGGTAAGGGATTTGATGCAATAGGATTGAAATCGCTGGAGCTGCTCCCCAACCCCGATCCTAATGCACAGTACTCAATTTCGTTTGTCAGATATGGTTTAAGGGAAGCGACTGAGAATTCTATCTGCCTATTTCCATTTCTTCATTTGCATAGGCCAAACTGAAGGGTCGTGCCCCGATTACCCTGGGGTAGTTTGTCCATTAACATGGTGCAGTGATGAACAGCTTAATCACAGAAACTTGAACATATATAATGCCCCAAATTTCTCCCCAAGTGTAGGGTGCTTGGTGGAGATATAGAAGTAATCACAAAAATCTCCACCCACCAACAGCCCTGGCGCTGGCACCTGGGCCCTCAAGCTGCCATTAGTGCATGAGGTGGCTTCATAATATTGTTGAAATGTCAGCATTATGTGACAGAATGTCCCAACAAGTTCGATGAAATGTGATGATGGTTACTACTACTACTATAGTCCACTTTTCCTCTAAGGACCTGGCAGAGGCCTACATGCTCCCCCAACCTCTCCGTTTTATCCTCACAGTTACCCTGTGAGGTAGGCTGGGACAACATGACTGGCCCAAAGCCGCACAGTGAGCTTCATGTCTGAGTCTGGATTTGAACCCTGGCCTTCAGTGGTGTGTAGTCAGACTATGCTAGTTCCCTAAATGTCACTGGTAAATTAGAATATTAAAGTATTAAAGCCTGGCACTTTCTTCCCCAAATCTGGGAAGCTTCTTCCTGGCTAAGGGAGGGAGGTCTGATGGGGTCCAAGAGCCCCTCCCCATTGTTTTCACAAGCTGGCGCCTCTGGCCCTAACCTACAAAAAATTTCACTGCCCGGCACTCCTGGCCTTCTAGGTTTTGCATTGCCACTACACTGGCTTAACTCTCAGGACATCTTAAGTTCCAGGCTAGGTATCTTCATAGCCAGCAGCAGGTACTTGTGCCCACAGATGCATATAAGGATCTCCCTTCTGAATAGACATGTAAGGGTTATTTTTAGGTGAAAATTCTGTGACACTCTTGCATCTCAGGAACTCTAGATCATAAATACAAGTTATATCCCATGTTCCTGTGAAAGGTGTAAAGAAACCTGAAGCGGTTCAGAGCTGTAGAATATGACTCTCCTTTGCATTTTATTTTATTGCAGCATGTCTCCGTACTGATGGACAGTGACACATATATATCTTTGTTTTGAGGAGAGTACGTGCAACGATCCCTCAAGTGCAGTGGTGAAACACCCCATCCCTGAGAACAAATATTTAGAAAACATAATTTTCATGACCCATTGAACTACTACTCTGCTTATTCAGTAAGAAAAACAGTTTTATCACAGTGCAGACTTGTCCCCCCCCCCGAATTGTTCTACCCTAAGTAAGATGCTGTCACTGCAAGTTCTGCCAGAAAGACTCCATAAAAAGGAAAGATTCTCATATCTCATTTGTGCACCAGATACTTATCTGCAAGGCTGAGCTTTTATCCGAGCCAGTAAGAAGAGAAATGGAACTTCTGATATGGATATAAGGACCTCAAAATGGGATGGCACCAAAAAACACTTCATACAGGTGAGAACAGTTTTCACTGTTAAATAGAGACATTTCTCCATGTCAGGCTAACTGAATTGTTGTGAGTTTCTTCCTATTGCTCAAATGAAATATACGTATATTCACAAAGGTACCAATACAAGAAAACGTAGTATGAAATCCAGTCAAGCAAGAAATTAAATTGTAACTGGTGTGTGGATTATTCCTGACATGTTATGCCATGACGAAAGCATTTCCTTATATTTTCCACAGTGATACATTTGTGACCTCCAACATGGGAAGCATGGAACGTTTTGTAAAATTGCAAAACCTCCTCAATATTGAGATGAAATTTTGTTTTATATTATAATCAGAATCCAAAGAATTGCTAAAGTTCCTATCAGGGGGTTGTTGTTAACCTGGGGGAATGTTTGGCTTTTAAAAGTTGAACAGTTTCCCCTTCACGACTAATTGCAGAAAGCAAAATTTTTATTTTTACCCACTCTGCAGTTCCAAAGCATTTGAACATGGGGCATGGAGCTGGAAAGTCTAAGACCCTCTTGGGCTATCCAAACTCATTTCAAGCTATTTCACTTAATCTATATTGCAGACAATTGCTGACTGAGGTGATGGTAAAGCAGTTAATTTAACATGCTGGTTTATACAAAGGCTGGATCTAGATACATCAAAGAAGCGTTTCAGTTAAATGCGTCGTAAATTTAAACAGGGAAAACAGGTAGAGAAAAATGGGACTCCACAGTGTCATCTGGTGGCAGAATGTTATATTGCATATACAACGCATATAAATCGCTTTTTCTTTACCAGTCATAATCTAGAATGTGGAACTTGTTTGTTTCCAAATATTTCCCCTTCCTTGTAAGACCTTGGCTGACAGCAAGACTTCCTTGGCTTAGTACAATCCATTTGGCAACTTCTTTATCATACCAAAACCGAGTAGAGGAAGATGTTTTGGCACTTATTGTGCCGTATAAATCATCTTATCTTATTTTGTTTGTTTAAATTGCGTCATGGATGGAATAATGAAAATAGGAAGATGGATGAGAAAGTTGGAACTCTAGGTAAAATTTTCAATTTTATAATAGCTTTTTACAGACAAACAACACCGCATAATTGAATCAATGATCTTGCTACTGACTATGTAAGAAGGCAGGGACAGAATGATAAATGCACCATTTGGAATGCCAGCTATGACGTATGCTGTGGGAAAGCTCTATTAACTTGCTGTGGATCAGAGGTCAGGAACCTCAGGCCAGGGAGCCAAGAGTGGCTATCCAAGTCCCTCGATTTGGCCTTCAATGCTCTCTCCAGATACACCCCCTCTGCCCAGACCATGCCCTTCCCTGGTCCTCCTCCAGTGCTTTTGCCTGGCTGGAATGTGTGCTTGAACTGTGGCCAGCAAGGATGGAGAGATGCAGAGGTTTAGAAACCCATACTCTCCAACATTCCTCCGATGGAGATGGGGGCATTTACATCCAATCTATCTCCCTCTGTCATAGACAGGAAAAGTCAAATCCCTCCCATAAGTGCGTCTTGCCCAGATAGATTTTTAGGTTCTCATTTCTTACTCCACTATGCTGCCAGAACTCACTCACATCTCTGTTCACATGTTTATGATAACATGTGAGGGTCCAGTAGGGCTGGGAATGTCTCCTGTCTGAAAACCTGAGGGCTACTGCCAGTCCATTTCAACAGTAATGAGATAAATGGGGCGATGGCTTGGCATGGTATAAGGCAGCTTCCTATGTTCTTAGGATGTTCCCATGCTCATTCCATCCCAATCTGACTCGGAAATCTATACCTGGCAATGTGGCTACATAGAGTAATATGGAATAACCTGAGTGTGTGCCCCTATTCATTTGCATTGGACAGGGCCACAGCAGCCTACGCTATGAAATTAAATGCAAATGAGATGAGGCAAAGTATAAATAGAGAGACTGAATCGATTGAGCAGGCCTTCGGCTTTCGTGCAATCAAGGTTTAAATGTTAATTCGGATCTCGTTGGCTGCATTAGTTTCCGTTGTATTTACCCCCCCAACCCATTTTAACTGTGACAGTTCCTTTAAAAAATTGTTGCCCTGCATCTCATGGGTGCTTTAAATATTCTCTTAAATCTATAAGCTGACAATATAAAATGCATCTAAGCTTGTTGAACTTCCTACTTGAAATTCATCTCACACAAAAGGAAGACCTGGAAAACAGCCATTATTTGTCACAGTCCTGTGTGTCCTACAAAAGGACTGAAGTTGAGCCAGCAATGTTGGCAAATGTATGACTGTCTGGGGTAGATGCTTGGCACTGAAATCTTTAATTATTGTTTTGTGTTAGCTGCACGCCTGCCTGCAGTATTTGGGAAAAGGTGCATTTACCGAAGTCAGAATAATTGGTAAAATCTGAATAACAAACAGTAAAGAATAAAACATGATTTTGTTCTAAAGTTTGGGGGTTTGGGAACAAACCCGTCCTCTGTCTGCCTAAGATACAAATGTAAGTGCCTCACAGAGCAATGCAACACCAATTTTTATCGAGAGATCTGGGAATCCAGGAAATCAGTTCTGTTCTTGGTAAATTTATGGAAAGCATTATTCAATACAGTGGTACTTCGGGTTACAGACACTTCAGGTTACAGACGCTTCAGGTTACACACTCCGCTAACCCAGAAATAGTACCCCAGATTAAAAACTTTGCTTCAGGATGAGAACAGAAATTGCATGGCGGCCACGCGGCGGCAGCAGGAGGCCCCATTAGCTAAAGTGGTACCTCAGGTTAAGAACAGTTTCAGGTTAAGAATGGACCTCCAGAACGAATTAAGTTCTTACCCCGAGGTACCACTGTATAGAATTACCAAGCATGAAGAAGAACAAGTCTGGCTGAAGAAGAATCAGCATGACTTTCCTTTTAGAGGTCTCTGGAAGTGTTGGCAAATATGTGGATGGGGCTGATCAGGTAGATAATGGTCATCTCTGCTTTGACTCTCAAAAATATTTTGTCAAAGTCCCTCATCTATCAACTGTAACTAACACATGTTGTATCAGGAAATTCCATCACAATCCCTATTCTGTCAGAGTGACTGTTACACAGGGGCATAGTGTGGGTTGCCAGCGCCCGGGGTGGGGCAAGTATTGCGCCCATCTGGTGGACTGGGCAGCGTTCAAGCCCTTCACTGGCCAGCGTCTAATCAAGGGAGTCTCTCCTTGCAAACCAGTCCCAACCTGGAACTAGGAATGCCATTGTGTTGCCTTGCCCTCCTGTCCTTGCAGTGGGCGCTCTGTGGCTCCAACAGTGCTTTCCCACCTTTCTCTTCCTCCCCTTGTCCTCAGTGGGTGGTGGTGCCCTCACCCTCCCTCCCTCTTGGCTGGCTCAGGGGTGGGGTGCACATTGGCACCCCTTTGTTGGCCACAAGAAGAAGGAGGCACCGCTGCAGCCCCAGCCCCAAAGGCCCGACCAGGGAGCAGCTTGCCTCCTCACAGCTCCGGCCTCGATGAGGGAATCTGTTGTGGGGGTGCCTGGTTGTGCCCCCTCAGAAATTTGTGCCTGGGGCCAAGGCCCCCCTGCCTCATCCACGCCATGCCACTGCTGTTACATGGTGCCTTATTTTTCAAGTGGGTCAGAGCACACCGTTGGGAAGCACTGATATAAGCTGTTCTAAATTGGGTACCACATGGCTATGTGTCTTCTCCTCCTCTATCTTCTCCATCTTCTTTTTTACTGTGCTGTGTTTTAATGAACCCATGTATTTTCTGCCCTGGGGTCACCTGCTGGAGGGCATTATACATTTCACAAAGAAATAATAAATAACAAATAGCTGAAAAATGCACTGAGCATGAGCGATAGCAAATACAGAGATCAAAATTGGAGGCATGGCAGTCTTCTCTACTGAAAAGACAGAGGGACATTAGATATGGAGCTGGTGTACATGTTTTCAGCTGCACCCCTGATCAAGTTTGCATTCTTCTGAGGGCTTGTCATAGTGCTCCAGTGGGAGACAGACTTCCTTTAATGGAGGCATTTCTATGAGAAAAAATAAGAGGCATCTGCAAAGATGGTAAGAGCCAAGGCACATTTTCACCCACAAGACAGGGATGATGTGCTGGCCCAGGGGTGACCACAGCAGCTATCTGTCTGCCTGCCTGCCTGCCTGCCTGCCTGCCTGTCTATCTATCTTTCTATCATCTGTCTATCTATCTATCATCTATCTATCATTTATTGATCTGATTTATAGCCCACTCTTCATTACAATCAATCCCAAAGCAAAGTACAACATCTGGTTATTAACATATGGGGCCCTTTGACCCATTCCAAAGCTCCTGAAGAGTAAATGTTTCCATCCCACAGGATTTCTGAGGACATTTATGAATTCTCAGTAAAGAGATACCTTTGAATTTCCTTCCTTCATGGGCATCTTACAATGTAGAAGCGTTTATCCTACAGCAGTGAGTAATGAGGTATTTGATTACATTGTATTCACTCTAGACTCTTTGCTTTAGTCTGTGCCAAAATGGGACAGTGAATGATTTGTGGTAAATATATTTTCATGAACGGAGCTACAGAAAGAGGAAGGGTGAACTCTGGGTTTAATAACTGAGTTGGGCATTTAAAGCGTGAGTTATCACCCTGGCTTTCCAGCATACGGTGTGGGGTGTTGGCCAAATCACTTAATAATAAATAGCCTATCTTTCAGAATACTAAACTAGAAATTCTTTATGGAATTATTTTTATTAAGTGCAGAATCTGGGGAGTTTTAAGTGAATTTATTAGGCAGAGTCACATGCTGAAAGATTAAGCTAGAAAAAATGCTTTTTCATAGCTGAGGATAACCCATTTCACACCCTAAGTAATGCATGAATGAATCTCTTCTCTTTTTGCCCCGCTGCATATCCTGCCCTCCTTCCTGCCCTTATTTTCCTTTCTTGATTGACGTTGTTTCATATTATTTCTCTGTTTCCCAGGGTTGTTAATTTAGTTGTTTAAAAACAACAGTCCAGCCCCTTTCCCCAGGAATTCATAACATGTCCTTAAACATTGTCTCTTGGAAATAAGCCCTATTTATTTCAGTGGAACTTAACTTCCAAGTAAGTGAGTTAAGAATGTCCTTCCAACAGCTTTTTCACTTACAATCAAAATCAGGCTTTGGACAGGTGAGCATTCAAGAAAAATGAAGATGAGCAACAATTTAAAGGAATTCAGTGTCTACAGAGCAAATAAGGACAGCTGTTTGCACTGAATTAATCCATTTTGAGTTCTGTTTAACACCAGCACTTGACCTTCATCTCAAGTTGTATTGTTTTATTTTCCATTTTTGAATTGCTCCTTTTACTGAAGTCTGTCTCTCAGTGTTTCACCAATAAAAGTATCTCACTTGATCTAACATTTCTAGGACTACTGTTAAACTGTTGTTAACAGTTTAAAAAGTGTCTAGATGCTTTGCAACATGCCTTTAGCCTGGGAAAACGAAGCAGTCCATTGAAGGCTGATGGCAGCAACTCCGCTCTGTGTCCTGCTCCAAAGAAACTGTCTTTAGCCAGAACTTATGAGACCCTGAATAAAGGAGGTTAATGCCCTAGATCTATTGATAAGTATTCTTTGACACAGGAATTAGAAACCAGCTATCTATACACATTTCTGTATCTATACAAAGGTTAGAAAGGTAAAATAAATCCTCTGAAATTGAATTTTAAAAAGTAGAGAATCAGCTCATACTTCCACTATTATGGTCATATATTTGCAATGCATCCTCAGGGCATTGAGTCTTCTCTTTCTGAATTTATCTTCCCAGATATCCTCCCAGAATAGCAACCGTTTCCCTTGTGTATTCCATTAGGAATCAGCAACTGGCTGAGTGCCTTTTCCTAACAACAGGTAGCTGATTTACATGACGAAAAGGTAAGGTTACATTTTATATTCAGGCTAGTGGAGAGCTACTGGCCAGGGAAATAGATGGGGAAGCTGTGTGGGCTTTCTTGCCTACATCAAGCTGAGTAAACATCAGTCAGAGATGGCTTAGTCATGGCAAATCCAGCCTCTCTGCCTTAGATGATCATTGAGTTCTCCCAACTCTATGATTATCTTCTCAAGAAGTGCAAATATAGCTTATCTTGGGCTGCTGACGCAGTGCTTTAAAGCCAAAGTTATCTTCTGGGATGCCCATCAGCATGTTTATGTTGGTGCATAATAATAGCATGGCTGTGTGCCCCCCACTTGAAAAGAGATTTGCTGCCGCAGCAGCATATTCCTGCCTTGCAAGCAAGCCCTTGTGAATGCTAAGGCTGGCAGCAACAGCCTATTAGGAGACTTAGGTCACATTGCTGCTTTTATTTTGGGTGTGTTAATGATCCATGTGCCCTGAACAAACACAAAATACAGAAGGCATATTAACAAACTAATTGGCTTTTAGTTCCAGGTCACAGTAAAGGTACAATGACCGTTTGTTTTTGTTTGTTTCAGTCATTACATACTTCCTGGGTGGGGAAGAGCCAGCGGGAGAGAGAGAAGGAAAATATCTCAAGAATGTGCTCAGTGCTTTTCAAAATGCATCAGATTGTTTAGTGGCCAAAGGAAGAGAAACGTTTTCTTGTAATATGTACTTAAGGCTGAGTGCAAAGTCTAAATTATGCATGAACAATATAGAAGGCGAATATTGCTCCTCCAGTTTAGTTCCATTCCCTGTCATTCAAAATTACATTTGAAGGGGTTAGTCCAGGTTCTGTTATTAGTTGATTTGAAATCGTTGCTAAGAGTGGAGAAAAAGAGTGGTTGAAGTTGCTCGTGATTCAAGGCGCACAAAATCACTTTGGTGAGAATCCTTAGAACCCAGTCTGTTACTGACTGTGAAACATCAACAGCGATTACCCATTACCTTTACCCAACAAATAAAGTTATTTCAGAGAGAAAATATACTGAGAGCTGTGAAAATTACGTTGAATTACATTCACGGAAAATAGTACCTGTCTCTATATTGCAGTTTACAATGTTCTGTCTCTTTGGCATGCACTCTGTGAAAGAAACAGATGGCCAGAAAATTGGTTCAGAACCATCCAGAATTTGAAACCTTGGTGACATCAGACTAGGACATCCAGTAGAGTTGAAACTTCTGCAGAGCTAATCAAGATGATCTGGTTCATCTTTATCTATTACTCTAAGCTAGACAACTGTTGCCAACAGGTCCAAGATTTAAATAAGACTGGCTAAAATCCTATTAGTTTAATCAACTATGCATATACAGTGGTACCTCGGGTTACATACGCTTCATGTTACATACGCTTCAGGTTACAGACTCCGCTAACCCAGAAATAGTACCTCGGGTTAAGAACTTTGCTTCAGGATGAGAACAGAAATCGTGTTCCGGCGGCGCGGCGGCAGCAGGAGGCCCCATTCACTAAAGTGGTGCTTCAGGTTAAGAACACTTTCAGGTTAAGAACAGACCTCCAGAATGAATTAAGTACTTAACCTGAGGTACCACTGTAATACAAGAGCAATAGTCTGATGATGTTCATGAAACTCTCCAAAACCATCTACCTTGTACTATAAAAGTGAGTGTATACTTCTGTTTTTTTTAGTTGAGAAATCCCTTTCTAGATTTAGACATTCCATTCCATTCCATCCCATCCCATACTCTCTATCTAGCTCAATAAATATCTAACTGTTAATTTCCTTTGGAAGGGTTGTATGTAATTATATCTCTAGACAGAAGAATTACTGGGATTCCTCATCTTGAAGTGTAAAAAAATAATAACGTTTAGGTTAACTTTTTGTAAGGCTCTGTCACTCATATAACAGAGCAAGAAGATGTAATTTCCTTACCAAGCCTTGAAACCTGATCCATAAACAATTTGAGAATTACCGTACTTTTTCTTAGGGAAATATTCATTCAGCTGAAGTCTACATTGGTTTAAATTGAATTTGACTGATTGCTAGAAACGTGCTGCACAGTTCAATAGCTTGCAAGGTGGTTTGGGTGAGAGTAGCCACTCCATCATGGCTGTTCATATTATGCTAAGCAAGAGAGCTGAAAATCCTGGATCTGGAATAGCAGTTAGAAATCCTCCCAGTTTACTTAGCTGCCATAGATAGGACTACATTGCAAGTGCACTGCTGGAGTTCTGCCCTGCCCAGACCTCAAATCTGAGGTCTCCTCAGAGGAGGAGCAGGGGGTGCAAAACCATCCAGCAGAGCTCCACTGGGGAGCAAATGGACACAGATACTTCTGCCCCAGAATGGGAGATCCCCACACCACCTGCCTCTCAGATCTCCGTACCTCCCCCTGGGCCTCAGAAGCAGAAGAGTCAGCTAACCTAGCAGGAACTTCATAGCCACTGATGAAATGCCTGGGTAGCTGCATGCGAAGCTACATGGGAGAAGTGGAGGTGCATGAAAGCACCTGCTCAGATCAGGGGTTGGCTGACAGCTTCTACTTAAGCTTCCGGTCTAAACTGCTTCATTGCTTGAAGCAACAGCTGTCTCCTAAGCTCTAGGCTGGGGGAAATCAATGCACAGCTGCATTTCAGGCTAAATATTTCTTCCAAGACAGGAGTGTTCAGGCTAGCTTTTTCAACGCGTGAAACCAACCACCTATCTCCTTGATCCTTGCCCATCCTGGCTAATAAAAGCAAGCCGGGAAGGGCTGGGCGATGGGCTCTGCGGGGTGGTGAATGCTTCCCTCTGTGAGGGAACATTCCCAGATCCGCTGAAAGAGGCGGTCATTAAACCGCTTCTTAAAAAACCATCTTTCTATCCGGCCAGTATGGCCAACTATCGCCCAGTCTCAAATCTTCCATTCTTGGGCAAGGTGATTGAGCGCGTGGTTGCTGAACAACTCCAGGCACGCTTGGAGGATGCAGACCATTTGGATCCCTTCCAATCAGGATTCAGGCCTCATCATGGGACTGAAATTGCCTTGGTCACGCTGGTTGATGATCTCCGGTGAGCTAGGGACAAAGGTGAGAGTTGTTTCCTGGTTCTGCTGGATCTCTCAGCGGCCATAACATCCTTCTGGACCGTCTAGAGGGGCTGGGAGCTGGGGGCACTGTTATACAGTGGTTTCGCTCCTTCCTCCTGGGCCGTGTTCAGAAAGTGGTGGTGGGGGATGAGTGTTCAGACCCCTGGGCCCTCACTTGTGGGGTGCCTCAGGGTTTCGTCCTCTCCCCCACACTTTTTAACATCTATATGAAGCCGCTGGGAGAGATCATCAGGGGGTTTGGACTGGGTGTCCATCAATACGCAGATGATACCCAGCTCTACCTCTCTTTCAAATCAGAACCAGTGAAGGCGGTGAAGGTCCTGTGTGAGTGCCTGGAGGCGGTTGGAGGATGGATGGCGGCTAATGGATTGAAGTTGAATCCTGACAAGACAGAAGTACTGTTTTTGGGGGACAGGGGGCGGGCCGGTGTGGAGGACTCCCTGGTCCTGAGTGGGGTAACTGTGCCCCTGAAGGACCAGGTGCGCATCCTGGGAGTCATTTTGGACTCACAGCTGTCCATGGAGGTGCAGGTCAATTCTGTATCCAGGGCAGCTGTCTACGAACTCCACCTGGTACGCAGGCTGAGACCCTACCTGCCCGCGAACTGTCTCGCCAGAGTGGTGCATGCTCTAGTTATCTCCCGCTTGGACTACTGCAATGCGCTCTACGTGGGGCTACCTTTGAGGGTGACTCGGAAACTACAACTAATCCAGAATGCGGCAGCTAGACTGGTGACTGGGTGCGGCCGCCGAGACCACATAACACCGGTCTTGAAAGACATTGCTCCCAGTACGTTTCCGAGCACAATTCAAAGTGCTGGTGTTGACCTTTAAAGCCTTAAATGGCCTCGGCCCAGTATACCTGAAGGAGAGTCTCCACCCCCATCATTCTGCCCGGACGCTGAGGTCCAGCGCCGAGGGCCTTCTGGCGGTTCCCTCATTGCGAGAAGCAAAGCTACAGGGAACCAGGCAGAGGGCCTTCTCGGTAGTGGCGCCCGCCCTGTGGAACACCCTCCCATCAGATGTCAAAGCGATAAACAACTACCTGACATTCAGAAGACATCCTCAGGGAAGTTTTTAATGTGTGATATTTTAGTGTATTTTTGGTTTCTATGGAAGCCGCCCAGAGTGGCTGGGGAAACCCAGCCAGATGGGCGGGGTACAAATAATAAATTATTATTATTATCATTATTATTTCAACTCAGTCTTATCCGGTCAACAAGTATAATAGGGATTATTGCTCACCAGCCGGGGGCCGCCGTCTCCATATGTGGCAATACTGTGATAAGCATTAAAAAATATTTTTGAACAAATGTAGAAACATGGCTACCAAGATTTGTTGCTATTTTACAGTGTAAAAAGTGACCGCCATTTTGTATGCATGTCACTGTGTACCGAAGCAGAATAGGTTAAAGGCAGGGTTGGGGGTCAATGGCAGAAAAGCATGTAGGCCTGTTGCACCTGACACGTAGCACAGGAGAAGCAGAGAGGAAGAACAGGTTATTCTTGTAGACTATGCCAGAGTTCAGATCTCATTTCCTCCATTGTTTCCTCATGTAAAGAAGTTGTAGCAGAATCACAAACCTTGTTGAAAAAGTAAGAAGGTTCCTGAAAACGGGAAAAGACTAAGAAAGTGAAAAATGAAGACTGACAGATGCACAAAGTCAAGTTACTTACTTTGGGTTTCCAGTACTTGGCTTCTTCCGCCGGAATATGCTGAGGAAAGTGTTGGACCTACAAGGTGTCTTCCCATCCCCAACATGCATACGCACCACATCTGAAGTGGTGAAGGCACTGCGGACGTTCCTCTCAGGCTTGGCAATGATGATATACATCTTGGGTGTGAACATGCACCCCAGAGCTACTGTCACACTCAGGCTCACCGCAAAGCAAGTAGTGATGATCTTGTAATTGCTCCCAAAGTATATAGGTACAAAGGCCAGCCAGATGATACATGTTGTGTACATAGTGAAGGCAATGTACTTGGCTTCGTTGAAGTTGGCGGGCACATTGCGAGTTTTGAAGGCATAGTAAGTGCAACTCATGATAAGGAGTCCGTTGTAGCCCACTGGGGCCACCACACCTAAGTTGCTGGTGTTGCAGATCAGGAAGACTTCCTTGATGCTGGGATAGGAAAGGATGGGGAAAGGGGGCTCCATGATGATCAGGGTAATCACCAAGGTCAGCTGCACACTGATCAAGATGGAGGCAATGAGGACTTGGGCCCAAGCACTCATGAAGCGCGGTTTGCGGGTGCAAATTTTTTTCTTGCTCCCTGCTAGGATGCGTGCAATGCGATTGGTTTTGGTTACAAGGGCAGAGTAGCACATGGCAGAGGAAAGCCCCACGAGGAGGCGCTGGAGGTAGCATGAGGTGACAGTGGGCTTAGCAATCAGGGTAAAGGGGCAGATGTAGCCAAGGAAGATCCCGGCAAGTATAATGTAGCAAAGCTCCCGACTGGAGGATTTGACAACAGGGGTGTCCCTATAGAGGGCAAAGATAAGCGTAACAAACAGGGTGACCAGGATACCCAGGCAAGAGAAGGCCACAGCCACAATGGACTCAATGTCACTCCACTGCAGATATTTTACAGGGATGGGTTCGCAGCCTAAAGGATACAGAAAAGAAAAACAGATAAGTTTAAATGTGTAGCTAGAGAAAAAGCATTTTTTCCAAAGAGAAACTTTGAATTAACAGATATTTATTTATCAAGTGTAATTTATTTTTAAAGTCTATACCCAATAACTCTAACTTTTCTGGGGTGGCTTACATACATAATAATGACTTACAAATCATTATAGTTTATCTCTATACCTCCATCCCAATATTGGAGGGGTAGAATTTTTTTACTCTATGCAAAAACTAAATTAGAGAGAAGGAAAGAAGGAAGAAAAGAAAGAAAGAACTTGGAATATTTTTGCTATTATTAAGCAAAGCTAGATAATAAAAGGATTAATTATAGTCATGGCTTTTCTTTTAAATATAACCACACACTTTTAATAACCTGTATACCAGTTCTTATTCTGTCTGACATAATCCAGCAGCATGGTCATTTGAGAACATGGCTTGGTGGTGTGACCTGTAGAGTCAGAAAACCACATCTATTTGTATTGCATATCATTTTAAAAGTAGCTACATTTTTATTTTCTTAGCATGTTTATGCTAACTGACCAATGTCATGTGCTAACATATTTGATTAGCTAAAAGTTATTGTTTTGAAAGTGTAGGCATGGGAATGTACAGTAATGTCTGTATATGCTTGCATTTTATGTGCCTGCTGTGCACAGGAAAAAGGCACAGACGTTTCCAAGAAATGTATGGGTTGGATGTTTTAAATAATTATTTGTCGCACACAATTTAACTCCCTCACAATGTTCCAGCAGACTCAGTGCTGCTATAGTCAAGCATAATAAGACATGTGGTGATAAACTATTGTAAATATACCTGCTGTTTTAGATTCTTTAAAATATACAACATTTCCATGCATTTGGAACAAGCTTGAGTTAATGACCTGGAGGCCACCTTTAAGGGGGGGAAATGCCTAAAGACCCTTGATTTATTTGCCACTTTTAATTCAACATTTTCAGAGTGGTTTACAATACCTGATACACACACACACACCAAACAGAAAAAGGCCATGCTGAAAACAATAATAGCAGGGGATAAATACATGGAAGTAAGATGTGGGAAAATAAAAAGTTCTGTGCCTGGCAGATCAAAGGCACTAGATGAGCTTCTAAGAAAAAAGGTTACATGAGTGAGGTGCCACAGCTCTCTTCTCCATTGATCCCCACCTTAAATAGATGGCATGGGCACCCAGAGAAGGGCCTCTGAGGAAGATCTCAGTATATAACAGAGGCGTGCACCAGCCACAAGATTTCAATTCCTGACATCTCCAGGAATGGAGCATCACTCCCTGAAACCCTGGAGCGCAATTCCCAGTTAGTGTCAACAATACGTAGCTCAATGGACCAATGCCCCCCCCCTCTCTCTCTCTCTCTCACACACACACACACGGCATTTCCCCTTTGTATTTAAGCACACTCTCAGTTGCAATACCTGTCAGTTCTGTGTTGGGCCACCATCCCAGGTCACAAGCTTTGCATGTGAACTCATCCTGCACAAACTCATTTTCCTTACAAGCTGTGCAGATCCAGCAGCAGCTCACTTCTCCCTTCCTTATAACCTGCAATAAACCCCCCAAAAAACAATGGAAAATGTTATTTAAAAATATATTAAATGGCATCTCGATTTCACTACAGTAGTATAATGTGTAGTGCAGTGAAACACAGCCTTGGGAAATAGTGATAACTGAATCTTTCAACTTGTATTCATGTCTCAACTTGCTTGGTCTAAATTAATTTTTTACAAGTACAAATTCTCATTTGTACTTTCCAACACTCTTTCTCGTCTCCCACTCCACAAGCTAGCAAACAAACAAACCCGGAAACTACAATGGATACAGATTTAGTGCATAGGATCACATGGTTTGCATGCAGGTGTTCCCAATGTCAGTCCTTGACATCTCTATATAAAAGAATCCTTGGTTGCAGCAGGGAAGAAGTAGATACCTTTGTCTAAAAACAACTCTTCATATAAATACTGAACTAAATTAGTGATGGAGAACCTGTGGCTCTTTAGATCTTTTTGGACTCCACTAACCTTTAAAACTGAAGGGTTTTAAAAAATTTATTCCCAGTCCCCTTTTAAAGGAACGTTTTGCTCCTTCAAGCTAACTTTATACATGCAATATATTCTCATTAATACCTCCTTTTATGCCACATGAGCATGGTGGATGGTGAATTGCATGAGATACAAACTGCATGAGATACAAACTGAGTTGGTAGATAGGTATTTTGCATGCCGTTCAAAACTGCTTGTGAGGTAGGAGCACAGATCCCACCCAAGGAATCTGCTGTTACATTTTACAACTTGCTAATATGCTGGGTATTGATTTGGTTCAGTAACGTTTACATCGCATATTGTACACATAATGCGGTCTGCCCCATTAAGGAAAGTCAATTGAGGAAGAAACCAAAGTTCTAATTATACAAACTAAAGCCAGGTTTCATGTGCAAGATCAATAGGCTTCCATGTATCCAAAGGGACAAGCATTTCTTAGAAGTTTAAAGAGAGAATGCTAGTGAAAGGAATTAGTGTCACAGTGGCAGGATGATACCTAGGAAACAAGCTGAAACTTGGATCCAGCCTCTCCTTCCAAGAGTGGAAGCGGGAGATGACTTCTTATCACTCTCGCTTCAGACCCTCACACCCTCCAATGATATGCTCAGGAGGGCTGGGTCATAGAATGGGAGGGCATAGAATGGCAAGTTGGAAGGGACCCTGAGAGTCATCTAGTCCAACCCTCTGCAATGCAAGAATCTCAGCTAAAGCATCCATGACAGATGGCCATCCAACCTCTGCTTTAAAACCTCCAACAAAGGAGAGGCTAATAATAATAATAATAATAATAATAATAATAATGCTGTTCACATGGTTCCTGGAAGCAGAACAAATTTTTGCAAAGATATGCAGATTTACTGAAATGTTATGTGAATCTTATTTATTTATTTATTTATTTATTTATTTATTTATGGCACTCTGTCTCAAGGGATGGCTACGATTTATCTTAACCAGGCATGTCCCGCAGGTTGGTTTAATATGGCCCCTGTGGCAGTTTATTTCCTGGGGTAAAATCCTAAAAAAAGGCCCCTTTTTGTCGGCCCCTACGGCCCTTCACTTCATCAAATCTGGCCCTCCTTGAAAAAAGTTTGGACACCACTGATCTTAACAGTAACTCCCCCACCCGCCGCACAATAGAGATACCTCAGATGAGCAAGCACTGGCAACATACCTTAATTTGACCCTTCAAACAGGGGTCACTACACACCGACCGGACCATTCCACTTTTGTTCATCTGAATCCTATTGTCATCAATATTCAACACCCCTTCATGCCAGGTCCCAATATAAACATAATCATAATGGTTAGCTTCTATGTGCTGTAGGTTCATGATGTCATACCTGGGGGACAAGAGCAAAGTGCGGTAAGTCAAATTAAACATTTCTAGGCATACCAGAGTCTCTTTTTCCTGTTCTGCTCAGCTTCTAAATGGAAGCCTTCTTCCAATTAACTTCTTTCAGCTCATGCTCTTCATGTGAAATCAAATCTTTAGAAGTTACTGTTTTGGCCACAACTTCCCTTCAGTTTGTCAGGATCAAGTCAGGGCAATGAAATAACTGGCTGGACCCAGAGCCAGCACTACTCTAAAGATAAGCTAGGCAACTACTTGGGGTACCAAAATTCCAGGGCACCTGCCTATTAATGTAAATTTATCAAAGAAAGAACCACCGTCTTGCTGGTACTTTTGGCTTTAGCAGCATGGAGATGCCATCCTGTGTCGGTGATTGTCTGTGTTTCATTTAAATTAAGTAATATAAAGCACAATCATGCAATGCTGAGTTATTGAAATAAAAATGGAAATAAGGAAATAATTGCATGTATGATTTTAATTTTAAGAGAGAAAAAAAGCTTGGTGGTTATTTATTTGTATTATTATTGTCACTTTTCCACATTAATGTGTTCAAAGCAGCTCATAAGACTAGAACAGAAATGCAAATTAAAAGCACCATTACAAGAAACCAACTCTAGGATGGATTCACTGCACTCAAACAAACCGTAGTTCATTTCAATAATACTAGTATTTTAAATTCACTACAAAATCTGCAGCATCAGTCCTTAACACACAGTATCAGATGATGTTATTTATCAGTTTCTTTATACAGGGAGAAGGTTTCTGACTGAATATATTTTAACAGTGTCTGAAGAAATCTCTGTCGTCTTTTTAGCAGTGTCTGAAAGGGAAGAGTAAGGAAGAACTGCTGCGGTGTGGTCACCAGGGGTTTGAACTATCAGTGGCTCTCCAACACTCGTGGTGCATGGCACTAGTTTTATCAGTCTCCATTTGTAATCTTTGTATGCAACAGCCACTAAAATTCCATTGGCCCTTCAAACTGAACCTCCCCATTTTGCCTGTGAATGAGGCAAGTCCCAGGTTGAAAGAAGTGGTTCTGTCATTGATAAGATAAGCCTGACGGCTCAGGGACCATTCTTTTCTTTTCTTTTCCTGGCACCTTCTCTCAGGGAACAGCAGGCAAATCCTTTTAAAGTGATCTGGCAGATGAGCCACCTGTCTTTGTTAAACCTGTGGAGGCCCAACCCGTGTTCTCATTGACTTACGGAGGCTTTTTATGATGTGCTCTGAGAATCCTTGACATAAATTAATCACAGGGTTGTGTTTAATAATGGATGGAAGGCGGCTCTGCAAGCATCTCATGAACATTTAGGTATCCAAGTGGAAAATCTGCTGTTCGCCTGCTCATGGGAGGTAGGCTATGTTTGCAGAAGACCAAAACAAAGTCAGCCTACATGCTTCCAAAGGCTTTTCATCCTCTGCCCACGCTCCTTGCCCACCGCATACCAGCACTACATTGTAAGGAGTCGTTTGCTGCCACCACGATATGCTGCTTTTTCTCATTACAGGGAAAAGGGATTGTGCAAAAGGGAAGATTGACAGCAGTAATTTCAAGGTGGGGGAGAAAGAAGTAGGAGTGAAAGGAGCAGAGGAAGGAGGAGGCGGAATCACCACTGAGTCTAGACAGACAAGCCGGTTGTTGAGATAGAGAAGAAAAGATGGTTGTGGGTGGCAAGCAGAGGAGTGTTTTGATCAAGATTCAGGGACAGGAGAAAGAAGCAGCTAGAAACCCTTTACTTTGCTTAGAAATTGCAAGAGACAGGATTCTTTCGGGGCAGCCGCTTGGTCTGTTTAGCTGGTGGCTTTAGACTCAGGCAAAGGCATTTTCTCCCTTGAGTGTTACAACCATACAGATGCGGAGAAAAACTGTACAGAAAAGCCAGACAGGTGCTTGTGTCCTGAATAGTAATGAGGGGCAGGCAAATCAAACGGATTCTGAAGAGCAGAAGGACAGTGCCCCAATCTTTTTCTCCCCTTGAGGTTGAAACAAGATAACTCCTATCTCACATTTCTGCAAGTCAATTGTAAACTGTATTTTCGGAAGATTTCATGCCCAAAAGTTCCAAGGGCATCTTACTTCAGTTTCCGTATGCTTAGATGTAAATATTTCAAGTATTTTTCTCTGAACTTTCCCACAGTTTGCTAGGGGCTCCTAAAACAACAGGGAATGTGGGAAACGATGGTTTGTGCAAACCATAGCTAGTTATCAAACCAAACTAGACCATGGTTTGATACCATGGTTTGCTACCAGACTGCAGTTTGCATTATGAAACAAGGCACAGTTAGTTATAAAATGCAAACTCCTGTGGTCAAAAAAGAGGAAATGTATCATTAAAAGAAGGTGGGCAAAACAGGACACAGAGATGCACAAAATTTGCATAAGCTGATTTATAGTGTTGCATGCCATCCCAATCTCTGAATGGTGTGAGATTCCAGGAGTTCCAGGCACTTAGTCAGGGTTTGTGTTTCCTTGTGCTTTGAAACGTTCTGTTTCTCTCTCTAGCTTGCTGCTTTCCTTCTAGATCACTTCACTGCCACTTCTGCTCCAAACTCTGTCCTTTTCTGTTGAGGGAGTGGACCCCACACATTTGCTATCTTACACTGAACCCCTTAAACCCCATCACCTCACCAGGAAACTAGCTTGGCTATTTCCCAGAATTAGAAGATTTTATTAGTTTTTAACACTTGCTAGATCCAGGGATTATGGGGTCTGGCACCCCGCACCCCAAAACTCATAACACTATGTATAGATACAGATTTGGAAAGAATTGCTATAATTTAAATAGAAAAACAAAAATCTCATCATGGCAAGGAAGACTTTAGACCAGTGCAGTTGTTCAGTCTGTTGCACAGTTGTCAACTGTTGTGTGGCATCTGCTCTCCCTTCTTACAGTTCTTGATCTTAGACTAGACAGCTCTTAAACTAGAGGATGACTTCAAATAGAGGCATGCCTTCTTAAGTGTTGGTGCTGACCTTTAAAGCCCTAAACGGCCTCGGTCCAGTATACCTGAAGGAGTGTCTCCACCGCCATCGTTCTGCCCGGACACTGAGGTCCAGTGCCGAGGGCCTTCTGGCGGTTCCCTCACTGAGAGAAGCCAAGTTACAGGGAACCAGGCTGAGAGCCTTCTCAGTAGTGGCACCCGCCCTGTGGAATGCCCTCCCATCAGATGTCAAAGAGAAAAACAACTACCAGACTTTTAGAAGACATCTGAAGGCAGACCTGTTTAGGGAAACTTTTAATGTTTAACAGACCATTGTATTTTAATATTTTGTTGGAAGCCGCCCAGAGTGACTGGAGAAACCCAGCCAGATGGGTGGGGTATTATTATTATTAATAATAATAATGATAATAATAATTAGAAGGTTAATCTCATTAAAGCAGGATGCATTACCACCCTGGGCAGCACACAAACCTGATGCACATTGTCATGACAACATGGTTTCTTACATCTGTAATGTCACCTTGCAATCTTATGCTTGTCCTATTGAGTTCAGTAGGGCTTAGTCTGCAGCCTTAATGATACACCTGCTGTTGACTGAACCTAATTCTAATGTTCTGCTTTTGAGCATATAGCAGACACGAAAACCGGACTAGAAAACCGGACTAGTACAGATAGATGGCCAGTCAAACCTGTGGCCTCTAATCTGTCCATAAAATGCCAGCTATTTATCACACTTTGCCAGATGCTCAAAAAGCCTCCCAGTTTTGGAAACCCCAGGCTGCATAAACATCATTTATCTTTTTTCCAGAAGCCAGTTATCTTCTGTGAAGGAACATTAGATTAGCCTGTTTTGATGCGCTAGTGAAGGACCCAGGGCTATTTATGTCTCACCTGAAGAATTTCCCCCTTTAATATTTGTTATAGATCTTTACTATGGCTAACACCAGCCCACAAGATCTGCAGGAATATATTCACTTAATATTTCTTAAGTACATAGTTGGCAGTTAGTGCAGAATGCAGCTGCACAATTGCTAAAAGGAATGAGACTGTGTCAGCATAGAACACCTGTGCTCAGGTATCAACACTGGTTGCCAATTTGCTACTGGGCTAATTTCAAGGTGTTACTATTAGTATATAAAGTCCTTAACAATTTGGGACCAGTTTACCTGTGAGATCACCTTACCCCATAATATGCCTGCTCAACCATGTTGATGTGCAGAACTGCCACTGTTAGAGGTGCCACACAATACCAGTTCCTAATTTGTGTGGCAGCATCCATACTCTGGGAACCTGCCTAGTGACATCAGGTAAGTGCCTTCACTGCACTGTTTTCAGCACCTGCTAGTCTGTTTTTAGTTTATTGCTGTTTTTACTTTAATTTTTTGAATATTTTAAATGTAGTTGTTTTTACAGCATGCTAGTTGGGACTGATGGGAGTTGTAGTCCAAAACATCTGAATTGGGGCTGGTTAGCAAATGTTGTGCTTTGTACTGGATATCGTATATGAATCATGTTTTGGAACAGAACTTTGCTTTCTATCACTAATTTGATACACACAGTATGCAAAAATTAAAAACATTTATATGATCTGACAGCCTCCAGAATTTATTTAAGTTGTGGCTCGTAATTAGATTCATCAAAGAAGTCAATTGTGAAATAATCAGCAAAGCATAAAATGTTTTTGATATGTATTCTTTCATTTTATTTTGTTCCTGCTTTGATACCTACTGAATATATTTGTATAGAAACATGGTCAAATATAAAGGCCTCTGCTATTTCATCAATGAAGAAAATAAATGTAATTAAGAATTCTTAATATAAAAATGAGTGATTCTTTGTGAATAAACTTATATGGAGTGCATTCTTGCTCAGCTTTGCACACCTTATATTAAGCCTTTGAGTCCACCAGAGGCTTCTTACACAAGTGGTGTTTGCTCATTTTTTTTATAGGAAAAGTGTTATCTTTTTGTTGTATTACATTGCAATGCTGCAGCAAAATGTGTGAATTTGAAGCTTAATAGCATAACAGTATTTTCATATAACTGAGCTTTAAACCTCTACTGCAGGTAATTAACATTAAAAAATTCTTATAAAAAAAAGGAAGAAAATGAATTATTTTCCCCCAACAGCTCTTTACATGAACTTTTTTGGTTTTATTGTTGCTTCATTGGAACCTGTGCCATACCTTCTTTATTGGTGCCTAACGCTATCATATGAAGGAACTCAATGTCCTTTTGTTGATTAACATGGTAGTTGGCTAAGTTGCTCCCCCTTACTGGTACTATCCATCTGCTGTACTATATAGCAGAGATGGAGTACCTGCGGTCCTCCAGATGTTGCTGAACTACAACTCCCATTATCCCTGATGATTGGCCATGCTGCTTAGGGCTTATGGGAGTTGAAGTACAGCAGTGACTAGAGCACAGGGCCCCCCTTCCCATCCCTGATTTACAGTGTTAAATGTATCAGCGTCTTGCTTCAATTGTACAGGCTAGGATTATTAACAAGGCAAGACGCCATAGTTGCTTACCTTCCGGGAGCGTCTCCATTCTCATCAATTCGAACTTCCTCTCCTGAAACGCCGATGAATGAAGAATTGAGCAGAAAATCCAAGAGTTTGCTTCCATCAATGGGCTTCATGGCATCGCACAGTCCAATGTGTCCTGGGCAAAGGGCATGATGCATACTTTGGAGGCCGTGAGCCATAGCATAGATGGCATTGATAACAAATCCCATTTTACTGTCCTGCACATAGTTTTCTTCCAAACTTTCATTGCCTATAAGTTAAAGATATTGCATAGGATGAAATTTAAACATGAAAAAATACCCGACCTTATTTATATATAAACATTGATTTTTTTTAAGGGAACCTGTGAAGGAAGTTTAGTGCACACCCACATGCCGCTTCCCACTTCTAAATTACCCCCTCAAAAAGTGACTGCTCTTTTCTTCTTTTTAAAAGGGTCTGGGATTCCGTTATCCCCATTTGTATATAATTCACTATTCTCCTATGATAAGATGTCCCCATACATATCACTGAAAGGAAGACATGCGATCACAAAAAAAGACTCGTATGTTCGCTTTCGGTGTTTCTGTGCCATTCTCAAAGCCTCCCTCGTGTACTGGAGGGGCCCCTCAATTGTGCCGTATGCCAGAAGAGATAAATCCAAAACGTCAGCCTTCTTTCTTTAATCCTTCACAGGACAGCTCTTTATCTCTCTGTTTTCACGCAACAGAAAATATGACAATTCTATTATGATCCTTACGAGCCTATTATGCAAAGTTGTCTTCTCTGCTTGCACCTATGGCTTAGTATCAAGTACACCATCATCCCCAATAGCATCAAAGTGTTGTTTTCATTATGTGTGGCATCTGCGTGCTCCTCCACCACATTATGAGGAAAAATATGTATCAATGTCTAGCAGTGGTAATGTAAATATCTGAAAGTTTTGTGTTTTGTGCAAAAAAAGGAAGAAGGTATTTGAAACGTCTTAATATTTAGGCAAAAGGACCAAGTGATCAAACAGCACACTTAGGCTCTCCTTAGTCATATCCTGAGCAAGGTGGGTGATTACTGCCTTCCCCTAGGTTGCTCTCAAACACAGGTAAATTTGACAATAATAATTTTCTCCATTCAGCAGCCATGCTCACAGCCTAACATTTCTGATATCTCAGACTGGAGCACTGTTACTTTTATGTCAATCACAATGAATTTCAGTGCAATGGCATCACCTCCATAGCTGCTCAAATATTGCTCCAGGAAAAGTATAAAGCTTCTTTACAGAACAGTGCAAGCAAAGCATCTCCCAGCGGAATAGGTAACAGTTGCATGTTATGTTAACATGCTAACAAGCAATGGCAGATAACCCACAGCCCAGTGGTGTACATTGGCTGTGGATTATCTGCCATTGCTTTCTCTGGATTCCCAAGACCCATCCCCATATGTTATTTTTAAAAAGAAATAAATTTATTAGTATTATTATTATTATTTTAGTGTTGGTATGGGTCTTCCACTGTGGTGTCATTAGGCCAAAGGGTTTTTGTTTTTTTGCTCTGCAGGCTCCCCATTTTGATTTGTGTGTGTGTGTGACAACTCTCCTTATAAATACAAATGTTTTTGTGACAACTCCCCTCTCAATTTATCATTTTGTAAAAACATAAAAAACTTCAACTGTGGGCCACTATAAGCCTTGGTTTGAGTAAGGTTAGGCCCCTCTGTTCTAAAGCAAAGCCATATGTGTAGAAATTTTAAAGCATTTCTGAAGTAATATTGGAGGAATCACATGGAACTGACACTCAACTGTTTCAAATTGAGATGTCAGAACCTTTCCTTTTTACATTACAAAGGAGGTTAATTGAAAACATTAATTAATCAATGTGTTCTATTGCAACTGTAGAGATTAAACTGTCCCAGATCTATTCACACTGTGCTATTGATTGAGGTTGTGAAGATAGTGGTGGTTATTGATTACAACACAACCTTCAATTTCCCCCCTAAAAAGTTGCTTTGGCTAGCTAATAATAGCTGCAACAACCAGAGAGGTGGTGGTGCAAAACATGGGCTGCTAACAGCAAGCAAGGCAACCTGTGTCTACACGGGTGGCGCTGTGGGTTAAACCACAGAGCCTAGGACTTGCCGATCAGAAGGTCGGCGGTTTGAATCCCCGCGACGGGGTGAGCTCCCGTTGTTCGGTCCCTGCTCCTGCCAATCTAGCAGTTCGAAAGCACGTCAAAGTGCAAGTAGATGAATAGGTACCGCTCCGGCGGGAAGGTAAACGGCGTTTCCGTGCGCTGCTCTGGTTCTCCAGAAGCGGCTTAGTCATGCTGGCCACATGACCCGGAAGCTGTACGCCAGCTCCCTCGGCCAATAAAGCGAGATGAGTGCTGCAACCCCAGAGTCAGTCACGACTGGACCTAATGGTCAGGGGTCCCTTTACCTCTACCTACAGAGTTGGAAGAGACCATGGGGATCATCTAGTCAAACCCTCCCTCACAATGCAGGATTTGCAATGCAAGTTGCATCTGTAGTGTCCCTGATGGATAGCCACCCAGTCTCTGCATAAATACTGCAAACAAGGAAGAGTCCACCATCTCCTGAGTCAATCTGTTCCACTGTTGAACTGCTCTCACCATTCGGAAGTTTCTAGTGATACTTAGCTGAAAGGAATTTTCTGGACAGACCTGGAATACTTCATTTGGCAGCAGTGTCCGGGCAGATGTATGACAGCCCAATAGAAAGTGCTGTTTTGGCCAAAAAATGCTCAGCAACTTTTCTGTCCGGATTTTCACTGTTTGAAATATGGCAACCCTTTCAAAGGTCCATCTAGTCTAGCACTCGGTTCTCACAATGGCCAACCAGATGCCCATGGGAAGTCTGTGCAATCTCTACTCACTGGTTCTAGTCCTGTCCTTGGAGAATACAGGGAACCAGCCCATCTTTTCCAGACCGTATTAGAGTCTTTGTGAATGATAACAATCATTGTAGTTATGGACACAAAGATCTAGAGCAGGGCTGTGGGACTCCCACTCCCAACAGCCCAGCCACAATGGCCAGTGGTCAAGGATCGTGGAAGTTGTAATTCAGCAATGTCTGGAGGTGTTCCAGCCTTGAGCTAAACTCTCAATCCAGTACTGCGATGCGAATGAACTGCTTAGCTTTACCTAAACACTGCAGCTAATGGGTAAAAACAGCACAGTCAAAGCATATCTGTACTAGGCTCAGTCTGTTAAAGCATTAGAAAATGAAATTCCAATTAACTTCCCTTCTATGTTCATTTGCTACAAAACTACTACTTTATGACCAGTAAGCATAACTGCTGGTAGGGATTAATAATCACTGGAACAAGTGACTTTCCCTTGAAATAACATGCCACTTTTAAAAAAGAAAAATGAAGCCTCAACTCATTGATATATGCAATAATAAAGTGTGAATTAGTTTCCCATTCTTTTGGGAGCATCGGAAGACAAATTTCATTACATTAGAGCTGAAGAAATTATGTTAGCCGTGCATGAGAGTCAGAATTATTCAGATGTGTTTAACCTATACAATGAAGCCTTTCTGGAGTAGAACCACCGCTCAAAGTTCTAGTTGGGCATACACAACTTTCTTTGTATTATTACTATTAATTTTAACTAGTTTTTCATATATAATATAATACAATATATGCAATTCTCTATATAAAGCTTAATATAGTTATAGCAACTGATCAAGCATACTCAGCTCACTAACATTTTATTCCTAATTTATTCAAATCTTTCTATAAACATACGTGGTGTTTTGACCCGCATTAATACATGCCTAATTTTATTGTGCTCTCCATACTACGACAGGCAGTGTTTTTACTACAAGTCAACTCCATGCTTCAAAGTACTTGATAATGAGCCATGGCAGGAAACTCCGCGTCCTTCCATTAGAATGTGATTCCTGGATGCTCTACATAGCATTCAAAAGTAGGGGTTTATTTCTAAAGAAATACAGGAAAATACCAGTTCTGTGATGATATTATTGTTTAGCATTTTTTTCTACTTTGTGCCTATGCAAACACTATGTAATCTTTGTGATTGCATGTAACCTTAAACCATTTTTTAACACAACACATGCAACCAATCCCCTCTCCCCCTGTACAGCTGATTTCGTTTCCGTTTCACAGTCTCAGTTTGTCACTACATAGTTACTACAGACTGTGTTTTATCACGAACTCTGATTAACTAAACAAGCCAGCTTCCTAACTCATGGTTTCAGTTTGGCTTGTTTTGAAATTGACCAGGGTTTGTTTTAAACCACAATCACTGGTTTCAAGCGAGAATTTGTGAAACTGAAACTAAGAACTGGCAAAGACCTTCTGCCAGTCATGTGCGAGAAGGACAGAGTAAGGAGAGTTGGTGATCCCAATGCTTTGCTTGAGCTTAAACCATGATTTAGCAGGACTGGGCCTCTTTTCACAGAGGATCTTGGAATTTTCCAAATGGATAACATAATAACGAGAGCTCTCTATGCAGAATGGTTTTGCACACAGGCACTCCTGCAAACCTTAAACTGAATGTGTGGTAGTTAGTGCCATCTGAATGGCTCCTCCACACATTGGGATGACATCCAAAGAGAGCTAAGCTGTGTTGTTACCAAGATATCTCATTACTCTCTAAATAAAATGATTAATAGATTGTTACTGCAGCTGAGACACTATGGCCAGTGGACAGGCAAATGTATATAGACTTTTGGATTCTGTGGCCAGAGATTAAATCATTGTGGCCATGAGCCATGAGGTCAGTGGTGGTCCTGGCAGCTTCAGTTGTTCCCCATCTGGTATCAGCCTAGTTTATGGAGCCACTGGGGGGGGGGCGCAGACAAAACAGTGGAAAATACTGTATATAGAAAATATTGTATACATTGTAAAAGTAAAAGAAAAAAAGATCCTTGGGTACCAGATGCATATAAAAAGAGAAATTATTTGAAATTATTATTTCACTGAGTGGTGAATCTCTGAGTGGTGTGAGATTCCAGGGTTTCCAGGCATTTACTCAGGGTTCATGTTTCCTTTTGGAATGAGACACAGCAGAGATTGTGGTGCCTTTATGCTATATGGTTTATTTACACATATATACAAACTGAGCCTACGATGGAGGGGTTCATAGCATTAGCA